CCCCCAGCCACTCCTGCCCCCCCCAAAACATCCCCTCTTCCAGTTTGCTTTAATACACGTGTGATTTACTGGCGATGACCGGTGCACAGGAATACTGGGTACGATACAGCCGTGCAGAGTCCCCCCACTATTGCTTTAATTTTGGGGAAAAAAAAATAAAAATAATAATAATAAAGAGGTGGGAGCAAGACAGAAGAAAACCAGATGGAGAGAGCAGGGTCCCAGCGGGGGGGTCCGGGCCCCAGGGGTGCTCAGGGGCTGGGGGGGGGCCCGCTCTGCTGCTGGTGGCACAGGGAGGGCGATGGGGACACAGCGGGGTGTGCCAGGACAGACCTACCATCTCTAAAATAAATAAGGCTAAGACTGGAGGCTACTGGCTCAGCTGGCTGGGGTTGGGGCGACTGTTCTGGTCTGTATTTAGTGTTCACAAGTCCCTGCCCGCCCGCGGCCGAGCGGCCCCGGCGACTTCGCAGGCAGGAGGTAATGCCCAACGCTGCCAAGGAGTTTCAGGTCAATCCCTACGTCCCCAACAAAGACACCTGGAGGGTGGCCCAGGCCAGACGCAGTCCCCTGCCCCAGCCCGCGGCAAGAGAAGGCAACACGCTACAAAACACATCTGCTACTCGCTCCCTGCCCACGCACCCCGGGGAGCGGGGCTGGAGAGTCAACCCCAAAAAGCAGGGCCAGCCCCCAGCTGAGGCCACAGCAGCTTCTCCCATCCCTGCTCACACGTGTCCTTGTGCCCGGCCCGAGGGTGGCAGGAGAGGGTGACGCTGGGGCCGGGAGCAGCCGGAGGGGGCACCGGGAGCCCCGGAACCTCTGTGTGAGAACAGTTCATCTGGCAAGAGAGGCATCCAGTTCACAAAATGAGGCTCAGAAACAATCGTTCCTGTTCTCAGCACAGGCCAACGCTCTTCCAGCGGCATCAGGTGACGAACGGGGACGTCCTTCTCCCACCCGGGCACCAAGGGGGACAGCAGAGGCAGCCCCGGGGATGGCAAGATAAGGGAGGGAACAAATACAGTAGAGACTTCAGCCAGCCCCTTCCTAAATCTAGGCAGATTATTTTGGGAAGCTTTTTTTTTTTTTCACATTATAACTCATATATTATATCTGTACCACAACTGAAGTGTGAAAATGCTAAATCAGAATTAATGCAATTTTAACTGCACCTTAGATAAAGCTACTGAAAAATAAGATTAAATCATATATCCTTATGAAACTAACAGAATCAGTGAAAGGTGGGAAGGAGGAGGTCAGAGGCCACGCCGGGCCCAGTCCTGCAAAACCTCAGAACTGCCCCCAAGATCTGCTCCCTGTGGCTTTTGCCTGCCAGGGGGGCTGTGGCCCAGGGGGCTGTGGCCCGGGGGGGGTGGCCGGGCTCTGGGGGCAGCCCCCACTCACAGCAGGTCATGGGGGGGCTCTTTGTGCCGGCTGACGAAGGCCTTGGCGAGCTACAGCCCACACGGGGCCACCATGGGCCAGACACCGCAGCCAGAGCGGGTGGCAGGGTAAGGACAGAGAAGGTTTGATGCAGATGAAGGGAAGTGGGAGGTTTCAAGAAATTCTTCCTTTCGAGAAACCCTGATAAATCTAAGCTTATTCAAACCATACGGAGCGAACGCCATCAGCCGGCTCTCCACGCTGCACAGCCGCGGCTCCTGTGCCAGCAAACCAGCTTCACCCTTGGTAGTCTTCTCCTTTCCCACAGGCTTTGCTCGATCCAGAAAACAGCATGGTTAAAAAGACAAGAGAGGTAGATTACAGTCATGATTAAAAGCAGATTAGTCATCGAGGCTTCGATTTAAAAAAAAAAAAAAAAAAAAAAGATTCCAGAAGATGCCAAGAGGTTGCTGCTTCAAAAACTAGCTTTTTTTTTTTTTTTTCTCCAAAAGTCTTCTCCCTCCAGAGCGAGTGTGTGTGTGTCCCTGAACAGAGCTCAGAAGAATTTGCTACATTACTCTCCATCCCGGGACACGGGTATTGCTGTTGAGCTGTAGTAGGCGACGTGAAAGGCAGACTGCAGGACGGCGCTTGTGCTCTCGGGCTGTGGGACGCTACTTCCGAAGGTACCTCTGGGCCAGGATGGCTGCGTCCAAAGGGTTCATGGGTTGGGCGTCGTGGCCCAGACGTCGCACGGGGGGGATGTTCCCAAACTGCCTCTTCTGGAGGAAGCTCTTGGCCTCATGCAAGGTGTTCTTCTCCTCAGCCAAGAGCAGCTGCTGCCGCATGTAGTTCTCAAACTCGTACTGCGAGCACTCCTCCGTCACCTTCACCTGAGAGAGAACCACCCCCGGGTCAGAGCCACAGCAACGGTCCCACAACTCCCCCCCAAAGGTCCTGAGCGACCCCAGGATATATCGTTCAAGCTGGAGGGGAACAGATTTAGATTGGAGATGAGGAGAGGGTTCTTCACTGTGAGGGTGGTGGAGCACTGGGACAGGTTGCCCAGGGAGGTGGTTGAGGCCCCTTCCCTGGAGATATTCAAGGAGAGGCTCGATGGGGCAACCTCGTCTAGTTGGGGGTGTCCCTGCTGACTGCGGGGAGGTCGGACTAGATGGCCTTTGGAGGTCCCTTCCAGCCTGGGCAATTCTATGATTCTATGATATCTGGAGTCCCAGTGCAGGAACTGAACCTGCTGCTGGATGCACAGGGAACGGAGCTCTGGAGACCTCAGCAGCTCATCCCGACCCTCCCAGACACTGCAGGGGCTGCAGCTGCCTGACCCCAGCTCCCAACCCCCCCTCAAGCCCAGCAGAGGGGTTTCTGATGGCAACACCCACCACCACTGATGACAAGCTCCTGCGAGGCCGTCCCCAGGCAGTGAGGTCACCAGCCACCACTTCCAACACAAAACGCGTTGGCAGGAAAACAGGATGTTTGCTCCCATGGCAGAGCTCACCGGGGAGCCCCAGCCAACCCCGCCACCTCTCCCCAGCTCTCCCAGTGCCTGCGTGCGAGGGAGCCAGCGCTGCTCAGAGAGGAGCAACCTGCCCCTTGGCCAGCTCCAGGGCCGGCCAGCTCACTTCCAGGCAGCCCGGCCAGCTGGATGTGACTCCTGGTCCCAGCAGCATCAGCCTTTCCTTCCGCTGCACAGGACCGTGATGGCCACAGCTGGGTCCCGTCCCCTCCCCAGCCCAGGGGCCACAGGGCGCTGCCACCTCTTTCCATGACACACGGACTTGGCACAGGGGCACGGAAGGGCAGTTCCGTGGAAAGGGAAGGAGGCAAACCTACCTCCTGGGGGTTTTCAGGGTTAGCCACTTGGTCATCGATGTCCGGCACCACTTGCAAAGGGCCACTCAGCGAGGACATTGACTGCCTGGGGGGACAGCACAGCGTCAGGGACCCAGAGCAGGGCCCCAACTCGCCCAAACTCCCCCAACACCCCGGCCAGGGCCACCAGCACATGGCACAGCACTGCCTGGATGCCACACTGCCTACTGCTACTATTCCAAGTTCAATTTCCCCTGCTATGAAATCGTGTCAAATCCCCACAGCTGCCTTTTTCTTTTCCTTTTTTTTTTTTTTTTTTTAAGAACCAGGCTGTGGAATTCTGGATCTCTAACCCTCGCATAGGTAGGAGAGAAAACAGCCACAGCTCCAAAAATCACAGACTTTGCTGCTGACTCAACAGGCAGCAGCAGAACTTTGCCCAGGCGTGCTGTGCCGCACAGACAGAAGGTCACCGGGCTGACGAGGGAGGGCTGCACCGAGCAAACACCCCCAGGAGCCATTTCTGCCAGAGTGTGCTACTGGAATCTCATCCCAGTTGGTTCACACCAGTCCCGGAGTCGGAGTTACCCTCAAAAGGCATTCCCACCCTGCACGGGTAGGGGCATCTCCTGCTCTTCCCCCCAGAGAGATCTCATGCCTGCTTTTACTCAATGGATAATGTGTCTGCATTTGGCTGCATCTGTTTGTACATGTGAGATATTCCTGATCATTAGACTTTCTTTAAAAAAATCAATTCTGGGGAGCACGAGGTGGGCAAAGGCCCCCCTGTACCCCAGCACTGCTCCGGGATGTTACTGCTGTGCAGGCTCCAACCTCAATCAGTAACAAGCGTTTGTACAGGCCACTCAGGCCGTGCCACCAGCAGCCACCAATGGTTGGGACACAGGATTTAGGCTTTTTTGCAGCTCTCTCAGATCCTCCCCTGGTGTCCTGTTTGGCAGCAGTCTCTCCTGGCTGCAGCTGGAATAACACAGCCTGCGGCCAGCGGAGCCATGTTCCCGTCTCTCTCCTCTCGCACATACCAGGATGCGATGATGGAGCTGAGAGAATCCAGCACTTCAGACGCCGTCAGACGCTGCTGCGGATCCAAGACCAGCAGTTTTCGGATCAAGCACACAGTGTTTTCTGAGACCCGTCCATCCCTGGGCAGGAGAGAGCATGGTGAGCCCGAGGCAGGCAGGGGCAGCACAGGAGGGACGTGCTGGGAGCACAGGTCTGGGACCAGAGGAGTCACCGTTGCTCTGACCAAGAGACCTTCAAATTAACCAGCAGGTTCATTCCCTGTCCCTGCACCACGGGGCCTTTCTCACCTTTATACAAGACATCCCACCTCCACTACTGCCTCCTTGGTGTCTGCTGCACAGTCTATGCTCTCATTACTGCTGCAACCCCCAGGGGCTGCGACTGAAGCCCCTCCAGCTCTGGCCCTCCCAGTAAGACCCAGAGCACCACCTGCACGGGCACCAAGAGAAGGGCCACCCCCTGCCCCCAGACGGGCTGTACTCACTCAGGGATGGTGTACTCGGCGGCCTTGATTTTGCGGAAGAGCTCCTGAGGTATGCTGTCGTAGAAGGGGAACTGGCCGTAGAGCATGGTGAAGAGCACGACGCCCAGCGCCCACATGTCACTGGGCTTCCCACGGTACGGCCGTCCTGCAGGAGCAAGGAGACAAGAGCAACAGGCTCAGTGACCCCGCTCACCCCTGCAGCCCACCACCAGCAGCAAAACTGAAGCAACCTCTCCATGTCATCCTTTTTTCCAAGTCTTAACCAAAAACGCCCAAGACTGCCTATTGCAAGACACCAAGAACCTCTTTCAAAGGTGCATCCTTTGTGAATAAGCACGTTGTTTGTGTCCGTACAGGTGTCTTCCCTCTCCCCACAGAGCAGGGCTGTCCCTGGGGAAGAGCCTTGAGGAGATCTGAAAGCATCAAGGAATCAGAGCCACTGATTGTGCTGAGTTCACACCTCTCCCCCCTTTGCCACCAGCCCCAGAGCCTCAACGGGCTCCACGGATGCACCTTGTCTGAGCCAAAGGAGAAGACAACTTAAGGGCCAATGAGTACGAGGCACGGGGAGGCAGGAAAGAAATCCCAAGGAGAGTCAGTGCTCCACAGGTGAGTGAGCCAAGATCAGCCCCAGCCTCCCTGGAATTTGTGTGGAAGCACAGACTGAGATGCTCCACACCCGGCACAGGTGGAGCCCATGGAGATGGGACTCTGCCTCCGGGATGGATCCAGCAACATTGGAGCCGGCCTGGAAGCTGCAGAGGGTGCAGGAGGCTCGGGGACATTCCCAAAAGCTGCTGCAGCCCCAGCACGCCCTGGGATCCGCTCGATGGAAACACTGCTTTAAAGCCCCTCTGCTCACACAATCCATCAGCCAAAAGCAGCACGAGGGTCAAAAACTAAACTCCAGTGCGGTACCACAGCGCAGGACTGAGGGAATGACTTCCTCTGACTCACACAGTGAGTCACTGCTGCAGCATTTGTTATTTGTACTAATTATTCTTTGCTTTATATGCTCAAAAAAAGGCACCTCTCCCTCCTCCTCCAGCTTTTCCTGCGGTGACATTTCAGCAGCCATGAAACGCAAGCCATCTCTTAGCAGGAGACAGCTTCTCCCAGAGACCTAAAACAATGATTAATTCTTTAGGCGTTTCAGCTTCCTCTTGCACAGGAGCCTTAGCAATCCAGACAGAGGGATGCTCAGAGTCTGAAGGTGGTGCTGAAGCCTGGAATGTCCTCAAGTAACTTTTCCCTCCATGCATGGAGGAGAAGTGCAGACCGAGCCATCTGGGAAGAGCATTTTTGGGAGCACGGGATGGGGCTGCAGGGATGCCCCATAGAGAAGGGCTCTGTGCACGGACATGGGAGCCAGAGCACAGAGGTGGGGTCAGCCCAGGTGGGGCTATGGGAGGATGCAGGGTCTCAAACAGCCTCAGCCATCAGAGAAGGCAGCAAAGACCCTGTTCAGTGCCCTGCGGCCTCCAGACAGGCCAGTTTATCCACCACCATGAGAGCCATCAGAAGACAGATGGGTGGTGGGAGCCAAGCTGTGCTGGCAGGGAGGGTGACAGAGCTGCAGTCTGGGACAGAACACCCCGGAGAAGCAGCCAGGAGCAGCTCCACGCAGCCTTTACCAGCCACTTGAGCTGCAACCGCTCCAAGCCCCTGCAGAGCAGTTGGCTCCTGTCATCCCTCTGGTTACAGGGGCCTCAGGATATCCTGCAGAACAGGAAAGGCCTGCAAAAAAACACACGTCGCACCTCCCCGCCTGCCTCTGCTCCCTTCCTGGCTTCGTCCTGCCCAGGAGGGAAACAGCTTTAAACCTGCCTGGCAGATGGGGATGGAGGAGCTCAGCTTCGTTCACTGCTGCGGCCTGTAAACCCCACAGCACGTGGAGGGGAGCCCACCAGGGCTGGGAATATCAAGACTAGTTCCCTCCAAGAGCACTTCTGAACTACAGTAGCTGAGGATACCACACATGGGTAACTCAGATCTTCAGCAGAGGTGTTTTCAGTACTCTAGATGTCATCCCCATACAAACCAGTGTGACAGACTGGGAGGGACTCTGGCCTTCACACCAGCGATCGTGCTGCCGACTCCTCCAGGAGAGCTGGTGCCGATGACCTGCTGGCCACAGTTTTTTTAGGCAGTTTCCCATCACCCAGTTCCTAGCTCAGCCCCTCTGCTCCCTTCCTGGCTTCGTCCTGCCCAGGAGGGAAACAGCTTTAAACCTGCCTGGCAGATGGGGATGGAGGAGCTCAGCTTCGTTCACTGCTGCGGCCTGTAAACCCCACAGCACGTGGAGGGGAGCCCACCAGGGCTGGGAATATCAAGACTAGTTCCCTCCAAGAGCACTTCTGAACTACAGTAGCTGAGGATACCACACATGGGTAACTCAGATCTTCAGCAGAGGTGTTTTCAGTACTCTAGATGTCATCCCCATACAAACCAGTGTGACAGACTGGGAGGGACTCTGGCCTTCACACCAGCGATCGTGCTGCCGACTCCTCCAGGAGAGCTGGTGCCGATGACCTGCTGGCCACAGTTTTTTTAGGCAGTTTCCCATCACCCAGTTCCTAGCTCAGCCCCGTGGATGGGGAACCCTTGGAGGTGGGATGCACCAGGGGCGATCACGGACTGCACAGGCAGCTCAGCTCCATCACAAGGGAGGTTGATCTGTGTTCACAAGGAGAACTCCACACTGTGAGCTCAGGCAGGGTGACTGGAGCCCACAGACTTACAGAGAGATGCTTCAGATGCACAGACCAAGTGTAAGTACACCTTTCAGCACTCTAGGCAAGCTCATCTGGATGAGAGCAAAAAAAAACAACCCCCAAAACCATGCCTTGGTCACTGCCCTGACACACAGGACAACCGCATGAGAGTTATCACACCATCAGGCAGTTCATTGACAAGAAACCTCCTGAGACAACCAGACAGACAGAAAGCACGTCTGTTCCTGCAGGTCCCATGCACTGGAAACAGTTAAAAGGTGGGAGGACGTTAGGGAAAGCTGCTCTTTGCCAGATTTCTGCTTAAGTCCTCTGCTGGAGAGGCTCAGGCCAGACTGCTGGAGACGAGACACAGCCCGGGCAGACTGCTGCTCTGGCCTGCTGTGATCATTCCTTTATTTTTAAGTAACTCCTCTCAGTTGGCCCAGAAGCTGCCCAGAGGGTCAGTAGTTCCTTTCCAGAAAAAGCAGCAGCTGCAGCAGCTGCTCCTCTTAGTGCAGGGCCTGGAATAAACTGACATTATGGTGGGATTTGGGCCCATTCCCTCTCAGGGCTCGGGATTTACCTGCAGCTTACGTGAAGCCTCAGGAAGAAGATTCAGACACTGGAAGCAGAACATCTTGTCTGCACTTGGACTTAGTTAGGACCAGGCAGGGAGATTTTAATTAGCTGTGAAGTTCAGACTAGCCTTAAGAAAAAAGTTACACTTGCTCCTTCCCTCCAGACTTTCCCAGTTGGAAAACACAGATCAAAGTCTTGTAACTGGACCCTAATTAAGAGGCTCTCACAGAAGGCAAGTTACATACGGGAACAGAACTGGGTGGTTTCCATTTAGTGTCAAAAGCCACAAATAAATGAAGCAAGTGCTAAGTGTGGGGGCTGTGACCCCCTTCCAAGGAGCAAAGGGGATTTACCTACCACTGAGCACGTCCGGGCTGATGTAGGCAGGGCTCCCTCGCTGGTCCTTCAGCAGGTCGTCTTCACTCACCAGGTGCTTCCCGAGACAGAAGTTCGTTATGGTTATTCGATGAGTCCTGAGGAGAATCAGAAGACATCAGTGAACACGCTCCTGCAGGAGCCAAGCAGCACAGAGAAAGCGAAGAGCAGAACAGAGGTGTGTGTCTGTGCAGCTTGGGAGAACAGGGAGAGTCAGAAGACATCAGTGAACACCTGCAATCCTGCAGGAGCCAAGCAGCACAGAGGAAGTGAACAGCAGAACAGAGGTGTGTGTCTGTGCAGCTTTTTGGGAAGCTTGAAGTGCTGGGAAAAGATCAACTCCATCCCGACAGGGAGGGATGCCACACCAACTCTTTCGGGGAGCAAGAGAATCTGTCTTACAGCTACGGACAATGTCTACACTTTAACAGCTTATTCTCCCCTCCCCTTCCCAACTACCACCTCTAAAGGCATGCCAGCCAGCACCTCTTTTTCAGGGGAGCAAGAGAATCTGTTTTACAGCTACGGACAATGTCTACACTTCAACAGCTTATTCTTCTCTCCCCTTCCCAACTACCACCTCTAAAGGCATCTTCTCCACACAACACTTTCTGGAAGCTGAGGGAAAGCCCCTGCAGAAGGGCTGCCCCGTGACTGCACTACCCCCTGCAGAAGGGCTGCCCCGTGACTGCACCCCGTTTGTTCGAGCATCACTGGCAGAGAAGTCACAGGACCTCTGATCAGGTTCAGTGCAACCACTTGTGTGCTACCCAGCAGTGCCACAGCAGCATCCTGGGGCAGTCCTGACCCCAGGACTGTTCTCCATGTGGAATTACACACAACAGAGAAAGTCTAATCAACATCCAAAAAACCTCCTGCATTTAAGTCCTTCAGCAAAGGTGAGAACTGCAGGCACACGCAACTTCTCTAATAAGCTCCCCCTACTTCCCTGTGGCATTGCCAGCTCCAATTAGCTAATTTTTCCAGGGAAAGTGAGCTCATTACAAAATTACTACCGCATTAAATCTTTCATGTCACTCAGGTACTTTGAATTTTGAAGTACAACTTACAGAACTGAGCAGAAAAACACTGTCTAGAAGATCTCTATATCCTTGAAAAGTATTACACAACTGGAGCCCGAGAGCTTGAATTGAGTCAGTCAAAATAACCAAGAAATATTTCCAGCAAATCTAACAGACAAGTGAAATAAAACCAAGTGTGGGCTGGCAATGGAGAGCTGATTATTAAGGAAGACAGACTTGTGTTTAAAAAGTGTTAGATTCAACTGTCAAGAGACTTCCCTGGTTGAATAACAATTTGCAGGATTTGTTAAAGATTTAAAAGACTAAGTGTTCTGAAGGACACTCAAACGTTCAGGGTTGCTTGCTTTTATTTAGTCACTGAGATTTGATCTAATCTGCAATCATCCAACTACCGCACAGGCTAATTGGAAAACCTGCAAGGCTTTAATGTCCCCAGCTCGAAGGGGACAATGTCTGAGGTATCCTCGTTAGCCCGGGGTGTCACACACCTGGTTTGGACTCTGCAGTGATCAGCAGCCACCGTCACAGACCTGACTCCTTTGTGAGCAGGGCTGGAACAGCACAAACACTTCTGCTCAGCCCGAATGACGGCTCCTCTCCATGGTGATCTACTCTCCTGCTCACCCACCCTTCCACATGACTCACTGCTCGAGAGGCTACAGCTTCTCCTCACCAAGGCTGATGGGCTCGCTAGTAAGAAGCCAAAACACAGCATGTCATACAACAAATTACTTGAGCAAGTGTGTTCACAAAGCTTCAGATGCCTCCCCTTCCTGCTCCATCAGTGGGATGCTCCACTGCACACCCTGCCCGGAAAAGAAGGGAAGTGCTGGGTGGATCCTTTAGAGCAGCAACCTCTGCCTCTTCCTAGCAAGGAGAATCACCTCAAAGCAGCTCCATAGAAACCACTTAAAAATGTACAGGTGGCCCTGAAAACCCATAGCTGCTGTGTCCTGGAAGGAACCAAGAAGTTCAACCTCAGAGGGTGAAATCTGTTTGCTTTCAGTGTCAGGGAGGGGACAGAAGTGAGCTGTGACCAGAGTGACCCTGCACGTCCTGTACAGGCCTGGGAGCCAAAAGCCTTCCAGGTTTTTAATTCATGCCACAGAAGAACAGAGCATGAAAAGACAATGAGTTCCACTCACTCTGAAAGTTCACCCAACCAGCCAGTGACGTAATGCTGAAGGACACGGAGCACCTGAGCTGGAGCTCACTCACCAAATGAGTAACTACAGAACCCAAGGCAACTAAAAATCTCCAAGAAGCCACCACCAGCCACCCCTCACTGCACTGAGCTCGTGCCCCACTGACACTGGTGGCTCTGCACTGGGAGGACTGGTGCCTCCCGCCTCTGCCCAGCACCCACCACGTGTGGGACAGCAATGAACTGCCACTCACATCAAACCAGCTCATGGGAACAAGGAAGCTATTTCAAGCACAAATACAGACCGGACAGAAGAACTTTTGTTTAGATAAGTAAATATTTTACTGCTAACAAAAACACAGCAGTGTAACAGTCAAAGACGTAGCAGGGCTGTGATTCCAGTATGGACTGCAGTGCTGGGAATTCCCTTCCTGAATTACGTGAACAGAACCTCCTACCACAGTTTAATTCTTTTTTTAAATATAAACATAAGCGTGCCTCTTGCAGGTTTCTGAGTTACTATAAACACGGGGTCACGAAGCTTGGCAGAAGAGTGAGCTACACAGGTTGGGCTCAAGTCATTTTTGGAGATTAACTCATGTAACTTGATTGGTTGGAACTCGATGATTCACGAATTCACAGAATTGTCAGAGTTGGAAGGGACCTCTAGAGATCATCCAGTCCAACTCCCTGCCAAAGCAGGGCTGCCCAGAGCACATCACTCAGGAGCATCCAGGTGGGGCTTGAAAATCTCCAGAGAAGGGGACTCCACAACCTCTCTGGGCAGCCTGTTCCAGGGCTCTGTCACCCTCACCATAAAGAAATTTTTCCTCAGATTTGAGTGGAACTTCCCATGGTCCAGCTTGTGCCCGTTGCCCCTCGTCCTATCGCTGGAAACCACTGAAAAGAGTCCGGCTCCATCCTCCTTCAACCCTCCCTTTAGGAACTTGTAAACATAGATGAGGTCTCCCGTCTCCCCTCAGCCTTCTCTTCTCCAGGCTCAAGAGCCCCAGCTCTCTCAGCCTTTCCTCAGAAGGGAGATGCTCCAATCCCTCCAGCATCTTAGTTGCCCTACGCTGGACTCTCTCCAGTAGTTCCTCAACCCTCTTGGACTGGGGAGCCCAGGATTCCAGTTGTGGCCTCACCAGTGCCACGTGATCTTTAAGGTCCCTTCCAACCCAAACTGTTCTACGATTCTATGAACTTTGAAGTGGATTTGTATTTTTGCCCAGCCTGTTTCCCCTTCCCTTGCCCTTGTCACACCACAGGACTCTCAGCACACGCTGCCTTCCGCTGTGTTTCTAACAGAAATCTGCTCAGGGAAGGAACACAAGAAACTGCCAGAACGACAGCTCCCCAGCACTTACCTTTTGTTTAGCACCATGTTTCCTAGTTTCAAGTCTCTGTGCACAATATTTTTCTGTGAAATACATAACATAACATGAGCAAAAGCATATTTGTTATAGAAGTATAAATTCAATGCTTGGACAAAAGCACTAAGTATCTTCTGAAATCATGTCATCTCCGTCCTCAGAAACAACCCAGAGCCAGGGTTGGGGTCAGGCTGCTCCCTGGGTACTTGGGGCACATCACTCTCAACTCTGGTCAGGGGGACAGAACAAGCAAATTCGCTACTTTGAACACACAGACTGATTTGATTAAAACTAAGAGGCCTGAAATCTAAGTGTCCAGGCTCAGGAAGACTCACTAAGTGTCCAGGCTCACGATGAGCATTTCCTCAGAAGACAGACGCTTTGTTGCTCTGCCAGGGAAGGGTGGGTGCCCCTCGCCACGGGCTGAGAACTCAAACACTGGCAGAATCTATTGTTGTTACAATAATTTCTACTTCATTGATCTCAAACCTGGAGCTTGAGGTTCTGATCTCAGAAACCAATTCTTACATTGTGATTTATTTGGCTTCAACAGGAAGTAGCTGGAAGGGTTGGATTAGTGGCTGCTCTCCCCTTCCACCACCCCTTTCTGAGGTTCCCAACACTGTAGTTCATCTGATCTGTGTTTGGTCCAGCTGGGCCCTCTCCACAGTCACTGAACACTGCATTGTCATCAAGAAACTTGAGGGGAGGGGAAGGGAATGCTCTTTCATGGCTTGAGGTTATGGGGAAAGAGCTGAAACACCCACCCTCTGTACCTGCACAAGGAAGTCTTAAAACACCTATTACCCTAAGGTGGGAAAACCAAACCTCCCATCAGCGAAGGGGCTAAGGAGGCTCTCACCTTATGTAATGCTTCCACCACTCGTACCACGTCATAAAATATCACTACTGTCTCCCGCTCACTCAGTCTCTTCTCTTTAATGACGTAATGCTGCAGATTGATCAGATCTGCTGTTTTGTCGCTGAAATCATGAGCACAGAGACAGTCTAACACAAGACAAATGCGCTTCTTCATTTTCCTGACCATTCTGTTGGCTTCTAGGTCTTCTATAATTTCACAGGCTCGGTCCTAGAGGGAGGCAAACAAAGGAGCAGTAGTTCAGGGAAGCTGTCAGGGTATTTGTACTTACAGAGCACTAGAGAATAAATAACTACACGGCGATCTCAAAATAAGCAAATGCAACGGCAGTGCTTGATCTTTGCCCTGAGTTGGGATTTCCAAAAAGAAGATACATGATCTCCACTTCAAGAAGCCAGAGAAAGTCTGTGCTGTTTGGCTGTATGTGTATGTCAGCACTGATAGTGTTTATATACACACAGACACTTTTAGGTAAAACCTAGAAAAACTCAACAGGGGAACAGACTATGTGAACACCAGGGGTCCAACACAGCAGTGATGAGAAGAACAGAAATCTTAAGACACAATTAACAGTTCGTCTGTAACACTACCCAGGACGCAGCTGAGTTGGACATTTGGCTTATTTAGGATATAGCACAGATGGCCTCACGTGAAAATCTGTTGACAAAATGTAACCAGAAAGCAAAGCAACACCAACACGCTGCTAACAGCACCACTCACTCACACCAGACACTGAGCAGCACATGGAGGGCTTTAAGCCCCTGAAACAGTTTCTTGGCAATTTGTCTCCTCTTACAAGGCATCACAAAACAGCACAGAGACTGGGAAGCACAAATTCAGTTCTAAAGGAGCTCCGTGGACACAAATTAATTTGCCATGGAAGCAGCTGTTTTCCTACCTGAAGGGGACGCTACCGAGCCCCTGTCCCAGCTTGGAACTTCCCACATTTCACAAATCCCAAACCCATTAGATCCCACTTAACCCTCAAAAGCCACTGCCGTGAACTTGTTTGTTTGAAGCAGCAGAGGTTGATCTCAGCACTGGGCTGGTAGTTCCTCACACACAGGGACAGGCTCAGCACAAACTGTACATTAAACAAAAGCAGCTCAAGGCCAGAGCAATTCCTGGCCTTCCCCCAGCCCGGATGGTCACCAGCTGTACCTGGAAGAGCCCGTGATGATGAACCACTCCCTCCTGGTTGTGGAGCAGGGAAAGGAGAGAATACTCTGTGTGCAGCAGCATCTTGCCCTGTCGTTCCTCCTGGGTTTCTATTCCTTTATCACCCCTTTCTTCTAAGGTGAGAATCTTCAGGAAGAGGGAAAAAAACCTTTATAGCTCCCAGAAAAACCCAAATGCCCCCAAACCTCTCACCCTGTAGGTATTCACGTGTTTAACAGCTGATGTAATTACTCTGATGTTTGCATACTTGCCACCAACCCGTGTGAGCTCACCTCTGTGCAGAAGGCACAGCAGGAGCTTCATTAACACAGGAAAGTGGCTCAGGTGGCTTTTGGCAAATCTCCCAGTGATTTTTCCCCACCGGGGTCACCCGTTGCAGGCACAGGGGAGCAGAGGACCCGTTGCACCCGTTTTGTCACCCGTTGCAGGCACAGGGGAGCAGAGGGCTCCAGGAGAGCAGCGCACAGAGGTTTTGTCTCTGGGCTGATCTCGACACCAGATCTGTGCCTGGCACAGCTGCCCTGCTGAGGGCAAGTTCCAGTAGCCCCCGTCGACAGCCCACCGGCCCCCGCAACCTCCAGCACTTCTGCTGTGAGAGCTCAAGTCAAACAGCTCCAAAGAGCAGGAAGCCCCACAGTTTGCTTACCTTTAGCTGATAAAAGTCATCTGTCCCATCCTTTCTTGCCAAACACTGAACAATACTTGGCACAGGGGAGTTACCTAAGCGTGGACCTGACAGCACAAAGCAAAAACAGACTTGTTTTCCTTAAGCACCAATGACTAATCCAGGGTTACATCAGTAAGCAAGTGTCATGCAGTTTACATTAGTTTAAACTAAGTTCCTTTTTGTTTTTTTTCCAGGAGATTAAATGTGTTTCCACAAATTACAATCTTAAGAAAAAAAAAAGGCATTGAACTCTGAAACCTCTTTGGACAGTGTTTCATTTGTTCACTGGAGAAACATTTAACAAAAGCCCACACATGGCACAGCTGGTTTCAGAAATTCAAATTTCTGCATGCCTGAACCATAAGGCTTTTACATTTACTAGCAACACCCATGGCAACTGCCATTGCCACACCTCTGCAGGCACCGCTCAGGTACACAGATTAGCCCAAATTTCAGGCTAACATACAGTCTCCCCTCTGTGGTTTAGATCAATCAGCTTCCAATTGATTATGCGTTGGTTTTCACTGTGAAGTCCATCATGTTTTTGACAGTTTATACAACTAGTTCTGAACTAACAACTATTCCAGCAACTCTCAAAAGGCAGCAGAGCGCTCTTGCCTTGGCACACACTGTGTACAGCGACCACTCCTGCATTATTAACTTGCCTACAGGCTGATTTGACAGCATATTCCATGCAAGCAGGGCTGAACATCTCCCCAGAGCTCCAACCAAAAAGCCCCTTGAATTAATTTGCTCTTTTACAAAGTCTAAGAACGCAGTTTTAAAGGAAAAAAAAAAAAAAAAGGGGAAAGGAAGGGCTCATATTAATCTTAAAAGCTGTGCCTGCCTCACTGTATTAGTTTTACAGATCTCCACAGCCTGAGCAGCTGCAGAAGCTCCAAGGGCTACACCGAGTGACTTGCACTCTGAGGTAACACTAAATTACACATCTGCTCTGCCTCATTTCAACGCGCCTTTTATTTTCAGTTTTGCAATCAGCAGCTACCTTGAAAACCGATGAAGAAACCCCTCCCTGCTTACCCAGTATAAAAGGGCCCGCTCTCTTGGCATTATTTCCAGAAATCCCTGTACAAAGAGCTTTTGCCTTAGCGGATGTTTCCCCAGCTCCTCTGTCTGATGCTCGCCGCTTCATCCTTGGCTCTTGAAAGAGAAAGAAGATCACATCTGATGAGCAACCGAGTTAATTTCTTATATTATCCCTTATTTCATACTGGAAGCTTTCACCTACGGAGGCACTCGTGTCTCTGCCTACTCGTGTTTCTACAAAAAAAAAAGCAAAGCTGTGGCTCATTACTGATAGCCCAGTTGTGGGCTGGAGCTTAATGCATTTTTGAAGGCATAAATCAGCCTCGTTATTCAAAGCAACATTTCCTAGAACAGTTGTCTGAGACATAGTGGGAACAAGTCAAAATAATCAAAGCTTGTTTTACAGCAAAAAGAAGTTTGCAAATTAATATATTCCAAAAAACTCCGAAAGAAAACGTCCAAGTTATCCTTTTGTATGTGTGTCTACTTCTGATTCAGCCCACGGGCTTCTGTGGGCTCCTTCCCGGAGAACTTCACTATTAATGGATATTCCAGTGAAAGGAAACCGCGGTGCCAGTACGTGGGCTCTCCTGCACCACCACTCCTCCCAGAGAACAGCTTCATCTATTGAATGAGAGCTTCATGCTTTGCATCCAAGTATTTATTCAAGGTCCACACACCACTACAATTCAGCACAACCAACTCCAAGTGGGACTCACTCCTACTTATTCAGGTACTGCAGAAAATACCATTTCCAACCAGCATTTTCTGCTGCTCCGAAATCCAAAGAGAATTTGGGGCAGTATTGCAGAACCAATACCTAAAGGGCCAAATCAATTCAAGCCTCTGTGACTAAAACACTCCTCCCCTGAAGGAAAAGTCTTGTTTCAGTTTAGCAGGAAAAGCACCTCCTGTGACTGCTGCCTGGGCAGCCTCCACGTGCCGCGTGTTCACTGCCAGCACAAACCAGCTCCAGACTGAAGGTTTGCTCCCAATCCACCTCCTGTTCACCTTTAGCTCTTGGAAAAGAGTTTCAAAGACTTTCACAAGTATCTAGACATTAAATGCTCATGCTCTAACATTTCAAAGATTTATTTTTTTTTTTTTAAGGGGGTGGGGAGAGTTGGAACTAAACACAAACCCATTCTCTTACTCTGAGCAAGTCAAAACCCAGCCCCGGGAGCCTTCCCCGAGAGGTTACTACAGCAGAAGGGGAAAATATTTTTGGGTTGTACTTATTTGTTTCAAAAAAAGTCCCAGTGTTTCACCACGTAAGAGACCGATAAATCACCACACTTTGAATGAAGTTTACCCTCTGGCAGTCCCACCCTTTCTGTGGACACAAGCGTGAGCTCATTGCATTAACTCATCTGGCAGTACCTGTCACCAGAGCCCAGATAGCAGGAGAGATAAGGGGGAGGAATTAACAGCAGGCTGTGCATCCCCTGCCTCCCACCAGCCCTTCAGGTCTCCAGCACAGCTGAGCAGAACAACCTCCTGAGCCCCGTGCGCTCCTGGTCCTGTTCATTCTGCATCCCTGACTTAATATCTGAGGCTGCCTTATAAAATTCCCCACTCCTTGCGACATCACCATCCCCGCTGGAAGAGCGTGAGTAAGATTTCCACTGGAGAAACCCCACTGCACAGAAACTCTGAGATAATGAGGGTTGTGCAATCCCAGCTGGGTAGGAATCGCTGGTGCAAACGGCGTTATCGTAAACAAAAATAATCGGAGGACTCACGTAGTTCTGCATCAACTGTATCTTTACTCTTCTTCCAAACTAGGTTTTCCAACGTCTCAGGAGACAGGAGTCATCACCTTGGAGAAGGCTGGATGGTCGAAAGGTCGAGGGCTCTGTAATGCGAAACGAGATACACTTGATGCTGTGGTTCTGGATTATTCTTGATTACGATAACGTGGTATGCACCAGAACTTCTGCAGCCCCAAACATCTGTGCTTATTTTGGCTTAGAAAAGGCCTGAAGCTCCTGACATCACAGGAGAGAATAAAAGGGCTCTTGAAGTTCAATCCCCAAAGAGTCTCAGGCGCAGGGCCGGGCTCAGCAAGGCAGATACAAACCTCAGCCATCTCAAAAGGCATTTTGTGATGTGAGACAGACCTTCAGAGCAGAAACAAACACATTCTCTGCTTTAACCTCCCCCACACAGTACTAACTTGTCTGTTTGTAACAGTATCTTAAATACACCCAGGTCAGCAATAGCCACAACAGAGCCTGCGCCTCCGGAAGCAGTTTTTAATCACAGTAAGAGCTAATGCTTAAAGCTTGGACTTGAATGGAACAATTTCTGCCAACGGCAGAGAAGAATATATTGAGTTTTACTCCCATCAAATCCCCACTGCAAATCAATTCCTCTTTACAATTTACATTCAGCCTCTTACAAAAAGAACTAAACTTATTCTACTCTATTCAGTACTGCTTAACAGTTCATATGATCCCATTTCAAAGGAGAAATTGAGAATTTAAATCTGGACACTCTAGAACTGAATCTGGAGCACCTCTACCAAATGCTTAAAAGTTTAACCCTCAGATATTGCACGCGTTACGTATTTCTTAATCCTGGTTTACTTTACCAGTACCCAGATAGATCAACTTAAAAACGCACGGGAACATTTTGGGATGCAGGAGCCAAACTCCCAACACCACCCAAATCATGAAGGTTTGAATGAAACTCAGCTGGTCCTGGGGACTCTGCAGAGGCTGCTAAAGACCTTTCCGAACGAAAGCACCCCAGCTATTTCTGCTCTGCTGAACCACGCTCAGGTCACAGCTCTGGCAGCCGCTCGCCAGCCAGCGCTTTCGGAATGAGTCGTCCCGGTGCGGGGAGCGAGAGGAGGTGCCCCAGCCCCACCACTGCCTGAGGGACACCCACCGGCTTAAATACCACGGAACAAGTGAGAAACACATCCCATAAATGGGAACTCAACCACAAATCAAACTACAATCCTGTGCCACTGCCAGCACTGTCCACCCCATCTCCCTGCTCCGGCTGCGTCGCCAGGGCAGAGGCCACCCAAAATCTCAGGGGCCCTCAGCAGCACCCAGAGGTTCACACATGAGAATTTTGGGTTCCTCTGAGAGCAGAATGAAGGACGGGTCGATGGAAGGAAGGTCCCAGAGCAAAGGGAAAAAAAACGGAGGCAGCTGCTGCGAAAAAGCAGGAAGATTGTTCCCTTTTCTGCACATTGTGTAACCCCAATTAGAGCAAGGAAATTGGTCAAAAGGGCATGGAGTTCCTTGTGCAAGGCTCCTGCAGAACAAGTGGCCACCCACCAGGCACGGGGCTAAGACCAGCATTTTGATACAGGGCTGAAGGAAAACCTTAAACCAAGAAGAGCAATGCAGGAGGCTGCCCCTCCTGCCGCGCCAGCCGGGGTCTTCTGCCCACAAACTCATTTCATCTTGGCTTGAGCTGGGCTGATACAAAGCTCTGAGTTCAGAGGGCTTCACTGCTAGAAGTACTCGTGGTACTGCTCACACACGGAACTACAGCCTGGAGGAACAAGCTTTAAATCAGTTTTAGACAAAAGTCATAGTAAACTGAACCCCTTAAAACAACCCTGCAGCTGTAAGCAGAGGCCACAGCAGCACTTAGTGCTCAGACACGGAGGGGGCCCGTTGTAAGATGGGGGTCCTGCCCCACAAGCAGTGTGCTGAACCCATCTGCCATCCTGCCCATGGTCCCTGGAGCATCCCAGACCCCTGGCTTCAGCTCCCTCAGCCCCACGCTGGCCACAGGAGCCCTGCCAGCCCCACACAGCGCAGCTGGAGGGACACCAGCAGCATCACTGCTCCTCCACCAGAGATGGTCCTCCTAAGGGCGAAGAGCATCCCCCCAGCCCCTGCAGCAACACCTCCAGCTACAGACAGCCCCAGACAGCTGGGACTTTCCAATTCTTAAGACTTAAAAAAAAAAAAAAAACAACACCAAAAGGTCAGTTTAACATCATCAGGATCAGTCTCAAGAAAGAGCATCCAGCATTTCCGCAGAGAACCAGAACAAAAACGTCCACCCCTTAAACCACCCCGTCCCAGGGAGAGGGCTCTGAGACACTGATGTGGTGGGTTCACCGCCCCCTCCCCCAAACCCCAAACTGCACAAACCGAATCAAACCACCCCCAAAACCCAAACTGCACAAACTGAATCAAGCCACCCCCACTCCTTGTCCCACCATCTGTGACACAAATGGTCTCTCTCACACAGACAACGAAGTTACAAGTCTAGCACAAAAATTCACTACTTAATTTTAACTGTAATATATCAAACATAAATCAAATGCCTGCAATGTATCAAATGTCTTACTGGAGAAGTGTCTGAAGCCTCTCACTCCACTAGCTAGGACTTTAATAGAATTCTTAATCAAATAATTTTGGAGACCTAGATGTAACGTCTTTTAATTACGTAGCTTAAGGAAATTATCTAATTCCTGAATTACTGCAGGATGTTCCAGTGCCCAGTGTAACAACAAAGCAAAACAAGAGAGGAGGAAACTGCCCTTTTCATCTCAGATTAAAGAAGAGGCAGGTCCTGCAGTCCAGCACCCACAGCTAATAGCTGGAGCAGGAAAAAAGAAGCACCTTTGGGGTATTAAGAGGATTACTCAGCAGCACAGAAACCAGTCAAGACACTGGAGCTGATACAGCCTCCGCGATGCTTTCTGTTTTGTCTTGCAACCAGGGGACCAAAGGAGTTGGTTGGTGTTTACACTCTGTGAGGACTGGAAGCCCCAAAGGTGTCCTACCCCCCTGCGATGGGGGAGCTCATCCCTGGAAGTAAGGAATGGGATGAGCAGGGAACCAGCAGCAGACGATGGAGCCCACCAGTGTCTGCTGGAAGTTCATGGCCATCGAGGACGAGCTCCACCAGCAAGAGCTCACACCAGGAAGGGAATCCTGCTCCAGGAGCAGCTCCCAGCAGCCGAAGGAGCTGAGCTGCTGCCCCTTACTCCCCCCACCAGCCCCCAGCCCCCAAAACCCGCCCGTTGCTGCTGACCTGGAAACGCTGCAGGTGGGAGCAAGACGGGGCGGCGGGGGAGTCACGGGCAGAGCTGCCCACAAATGAATCATCGCTCCCCGCCAGCTTCCTCACTGGGCTGGAAACCTCCTCCCACCCCAGGCGCTCCGCCGCCCAGGGAAGCAGGTATTGCCCTCAAATTGTGAATTCCCCATCTCCTACCCCAGACAGAAGAACTGCCCCCCGAGGCAGCAGCGCTTCTGAACAGCTTTCTCTTCTGGGAGCCAAACGCTGCAGCACCTGGGATGAAGCTGGTGACCCGGTCCAAGGGCTTTTGCCCTGCCCTGCCCTCCTCTCGGCCAGCACGGGCCACAGCTTTTGCAAAAATGAAGCTAAAACAATTGATTCAAATGAGTAGTATCAGGCAGCACCTTAAATAACACGCTGGGCAGCATTTATCAGTGATGATTAATCAAAGTTCACATTTAAGCCTGGATCCCGGCAAATTCCAGCTCCGGAGAAGCGGTGTTGGACATGACCTAAAAACCTACACGAGTCCTGACATTAAATGAGTAAAACTTGGAGCAAAACTTGGTCTGGCTCCCCGGCACGGGAAGGAGCCGGTGGGTATCGCTGTGAGAAGGAGCAATCCCAGAGCGTTGCCACACACCTTCCTCGGGCAAACCCGGCCGGGGACAGCTCAGACCCAAGTCATCAGCGCTCCCAGGGAGACAGGCTCCATTCCCATTGGAAAAGCTTCCCTGGGAACAGGCGGAGTTGGGCTGGGGCGGAGGAGTCACTGGCTGGGGGATTACAGGGAAGGTTTGCCGGGCAGATCCCAAGCCAAGCAGGGCAGGATGGAGGGGCAGCTTAGGGGGGGGGGGATCTCCTCCCTCTGCAAAGCACCGGGGTAAATTCACTGCACGGGAACATGAACTTCACCAAAGCCTTTGGAAGTTTAACTGTTCAGTAAGAGAAGTAATAATAACAAAAAAAAAAAAAAAAGCAGCGCATCAGATGAGTCAGAGCCACCAGCACAACCCATGTACCGCTGCGCGAGCCCTTCCGGGAAGGGAAGTCTTCTCCAGAAACACAGGAGCCCTGACTCAGAGATTTCTTGGAAACGTGCAAAGACTCATTCAAGCTTCTTCCCCCAGCGAGAAGTCAGAGCAAAACCAGGCACAGAGTTTCTCTGACCCAAGGAGGAGTCCCGAGGTGCTGGGGCACCCTCACCCCATCGGATGGCACCCGGTAAGGTATGACCTTGCCAGCAGCCCTTCCTGAACCCACCCACTAGAAAATCTCCTTCCTCAGCCCAACCTGCCCATTAGTTCAATCCTGGGAAGGTGAGCAAGGCAGAGCCAGCACTCGAGAGGCCGTAGTGCTAAAAGAGACCCCAGTGCACTTTGCCTACATCCCTCATCTGGCTCTGGCCAGTCTCCACCTTCTCTGGGACAAAAAAAGGCTCCCACAGGCAAAGTCATACATCAGGGAAAGCAAATTCCTCCCTGGCCCCCCCCAGGCAAGGGGGGGGAAACTCTGAAGCACAGGATTCCAGCAACTTAATTACAGCACAAGCGAGCAACACGCTGGGCTTTCTTTAAACCCTTGTGATGCATCAAGGCATGAGATCGCCAAGGACTCATCGCTGGGAGTTCCCTCTTTGGTTACGTAAACACCAACTCAGCTCAACCTGTTGATGCTAAAACAGAGGCCCCCTCCACCAGGAAAAGTCCCTGCTCCAGCCCAACATCCCCACGGCAGGGGCCCGGCACAGGAAAAGAGCTGGGAAATCCATCGGCAGCACCCGAGGCTGCTTCCCTCTCCCAGCACAGAGCCTGACGTTGGGCTGCTCCCGTGACATGGGGCTGTCACCACCTCTGGAGCCACCATCAGGGGAGAGGAGCATTGTATTACAAGATCTTATTCTCCCTCTACAGCTGGTGTTACTGTGTACGCTTAAATATTCCCTACATCCACTGCAGCAGGACTTTCCTCATGCGCACAAAGGTTATCGCGTGACTCACACACGTGCTGACACTTTCTTTGCAGTGAGGTGTGGTCGCTGTTTTTCACGATAATCTGCTCCTCTAGCCCTAACTAGATAGAAAGAAATAGATTTAGGTTATCTACGTACGCTGCCATGCTAACGTTAGTGTCACCCGTAGCGTGAAAGCACAAGGAGAGACACCGTGAGTTCACAAACATGAACAGATTAAGAAAATAACTGTTTCATGTAGAAAAGTGCAAGGGGCATGGAGCCTCCTCTGGTTGAGGCTGAAGAGCTCCCAGGCAGGAGTGAGGCACACACGGCACGAGTCCTGAGCCCCTGAGCCCCGCAGAGGGGTCACACAGCCCACGTTGAGGCTGAGCACAGGGGGCAGCTCAGGTAAAATCAATAGGGTTGTCCTTAATCAAAGAGCAGCCAAGCGCCCACGAGGCTCCCGTCCCCACGGCTCTGGGATACGACTCTGTCACATCCTGAGGACAAAAAGCAGCTGAACATGAGGGTGCTTTTAAGCAACGCGATTATGTGCCCGAACCATCCCCGCAGATGCCACAGAGAAACAATAAAAGGATGTGGCACAAACGCTCCAGCACCAGGAAAAGACATCCTGCATCCCGACTGCTGCTTACACACAGCAGTATATGTCACGCCTGGGTGTTTAGGCTCTAAACTAATAAATAACTGAACCACCACCAGCAGCACCCGTCCTGCATCCCAACTGCTGCTTACACACAGCAGTATACATCAAGCCTGGGTGTTTAGGCTCTAAACTAATAAATAATTGAACCACCACCAGCAGCACGGCGGGAGGGAGCAGCTGCCCAGGAACACGACAAGCCCCAAACCCTGTGTCAGGGAGAGGAGCAGTGGGACAGAGCTGCTGTGCCATGGGCTCCCTTCCACAGCAGCCGGAGACCTTTAATGCACCCACCTACTGTGGCAGCGAAGCTTCCAAGGGCCACAGCCGAGGGGTGACAGAAGCCAAGGGCCAGGAGAAGCCAAGGGCCAGGAGAAGCCAAGGGCCAGGAGAAGCCAAGGGCCAGGAGAAGCCAAGGGCCAGGAGAAGCCAAGGGCCAGGAGAAGCCAAGGGCCAGGAGAAGCCTCCTCAGCTGAGCACACACAGGGAGGTCGGGGCAGGTTTCCGCATCACCGGCTGCAATACTTTATGGTCTTACTCATCCTCACCGGGCGGTACAACCTCCGCCGCCCCATGGCTGAGACACGGGGGGCTCCTCCTCGGAACGGGGGTCCCAGAGCCCCGCACGGAGCCGGTAGCCCCCCCCCCCCGACCCCCGAGCCCGTCACCGCCCCGCCGACCCGGCCCCGCTGTCAGCGGAGCCCAAACCCCCCGGCTCGAACGGGGAAGAAAAGGACAAAGGAGTTTTACTCGGTGACATTTTTAACGCCCGCCGGGTCCCCCCCGCCCCGCATCACCGACCCCCCCCTCCGCCGGGGAGCGGTGCATCGGCAGCGCACGGCCCGGGGAGAGCTCCCCAGAGGGGCCCGCAGACCCTCCCGTTGGGCCAAGGCCCCGGCACACGCGTGGGGACCGGCGCGGCCCGGCCTCCCCGGGGCCCCTCCCGAGCTGCCGGTAGCGAGAGGGCTCCACCGGCGCGGCCCCGCCAGCCGGG